TCACAAGCTCCTATTTTTATCTGTCTACATGCATGAGGCTAAATTCCAAGAAACTGCAACCTGCCCAGGTTTTCATCACGAAGCTTCTCTTCCTTAGAACACCCCAAGTTCTCTGTAATAAGAAGGACAAAAACACAGTGGGTGGAAATATAATTCAAAGAGCCCATCGCCGCCACTTTGAACTTGGGCTTTATCGTTGTCAGATGAAGGGAGGTGTGAAAAGCCCCTGTGGGACTCATTATTTTGGCACATTGATCGTGGCTTTTTGCACCTTTTCGGGAGAGAAAAATGGACATCGCTACCGAATGGGTAGCCCGTCAGTATGCTTGGGAGGGCGCTGACTTTTAGTGCTTGCCTTACCCAGATGTCTTGATAAAATACGTGGGAAATGTTTGAAATGCCGTTTTGCAAAGTATTCCACTGCAGGTGGTCCACGACAGAGAATTCATTCACTTCTTCAAGAGTAGCCTAATGTAACCAGGTTACCTACAAGCCTTGATTGATGATGGTCTTGTTGATCTTTTTTGATAGACACTTTGAACTATTACCTGGTCTGTAGTGCCGGCTACCCCAATCCATTTCAGCAGGTGAGTGTGTCTTCAGGGTTACACGCTTGGAATACGGCATCCAATTTTGGTCACCATGCTATAAGAAAGATGTCGAGACTCTAGAAAGAGGGCGGAGAAGAGCAACCAAGATGGTGAGGGGACTGGAGACTTAAAACATATTGCAGGGATTTGATTATGTCCTGTATAATGAAAAGAAGGACTGGGGGTCTGCCAATATCTGAAGGGCTGCCACAAGGAAGAGGGAGTCAAGCTATTCTCCAAAGCAGATAAAGGCAAGACAAGAAGCAACGGATGGAGAGCGAAGCCACCTAGAAGTAAGGAGATATTTTCTGATAGTGAGGACAATTAATTAGAGGGAGGGCTTTCCTCTGGAAGTTATGGGTGCTCCCATCCCTGGAGGTTTTGAAGAAGAGACTGGGCAACCAATGGTCTGAAATAATTTAGGAGCTTCTGCTTGAGTAGAGGGTTGGATGTGAAGACCTCCAAGGTCCCTTCCAACGCTGGTCATCTCTTAATCTGAGACGCTTTCATTAAGCTGCGCTTTGACATAGCAATATCGCTAGCAGGAACACTGTGGCTTTATATACTGCTTCCCGGTGCTTTTGCAGCCCTCTCTAAGCGATTTACAAAGTCAGCCTCTCGTACCCAACAAGCTGGCTTCTCATTTGACCGATCTCGGAAGGAGGGAAGGCTGAGTCAACCTTAAGCCGGTCAGGATCGAACTGCTGGCAGTGGGCAGAATTAGCCTGCAGTTCTGCATTCTAACCACTGTGCCACCATGGCCCTTCCTTCCTTCCTTCCTTCCTTCCTTCCTTCCTTCCTTCCTTCCTTCCTTCCTTCCTTCCCTCCTTCCTTCCTTCCCCTTCCCTTCCCTTCCTTTCCTTTCCTTTCCTTCCCACTTAGCAAAAGCACTTAGACTTATATACCGCTTCACAGTGCTTTTACAGCCCTCTCTTAAGCTGTTTACAGAGTCAGCCTCTTGCCCACAACAATCTGAGTCCTCATTTTACGCACCTTGGAAGGAGGGAAGGCTGAGTCAACCTTAAGCCAGTCAGGATCGAACTGCTGGCAGTGGGCAGAATTAGCCTGCGGTTCTGCATTCTAACCACTGCACCACCACGACTCTTCATAACCAGAAGTCTTCGCAGAAGCCCACACGGCTGCCGTTCTCCTAAATGCCAGAGCAGTTGTGTGTGTGTTGTTTTTTTTTTTAAATCTTATCAAAAGGAACATCCTGCCAGCTGGAATGAAAGTGATGGGTAACAGAAGGGTTGGCTGTCAAAAGAAATGCCATACTAGTATGATGAGATAAAAGGCAAGGCAAGGGAGGGGGCCCTGCAAATTAAGTCGAAGCTTTTGAGGTGGTTGCACAGCTGTCTTCCTTGGCAGGACACCATAAAAAAAACACCCTCTTTGGCTCTGATCAAAAACTCTCCCAATCTTCTTGTTGGATGAAAGATCTAAGAGGCAGGTAAACAGGAAGAATAAAAACAATTTCTAAGGATTGGATGCTTGGCTGGGTTGCAATTCCTAGAGGTGGGTGAGAGGGGCTGGTTTCTGCTTTGTTTCCAGGGGAGAATTTGGAACCCAAGTCCTCCTTCTTGTATTTTGGGTCTGAGGAGTCTAACTTGCAAAACCTGATGTTTTCTGGAACAGTTAATAATAATACGCAGTAGCTGATGTTGCGAGAATTTAGGAGAACGGCATTGTAATGTATCCAGTGTGTGCAGGCATGAATCCATAGAAGAAGGGAGTATTTGTAGTTGTGGGAGTGTGTGTATTTGTGGTTTTCTTGCAGACGTTTCATGACCCAACTAGGGAACATCATCGGTGCTAGAAAGGAGTGGGTTTTGTGGGTGGAGAAGGAGAAAAGGAAGAGAAAAGATGAGGAGGAGAAGGGAGGAAGAGAAGGAGGATAGGAGGAGAAGAGGAGGAAGAGGAGGAGGAAGACTATGGGGTCCTTGGTACTCTCTGAGCTTGGTGGTTTTCTTGCAGACGTTTCATGACCCAACTAGGGAATATTATCAGTGCTAGAAGGGAGTGGGTTTGCAGAGTGGAGGAGGAAGGGAAGAACTATGGGTCCTTGGTGCTCTCTGAATTCAGCTGTTTTCTTGCAAACGTTTCATGATCCAATGAGGTAACATCATCAGTGCTAGAAGGAAGTAGGGGCGAAGTTCTAGCCCTGATGATGTTAACCTCGTTGGGTCATGAAACGTCTGCAAGAAAGCCACCACACTCAGTGAGCTACAAGGACTTGCACAGACTAACCGGATTTGACTTGAAAGACCGAAATGATATTTCTTCTGTTGAACAGAAGCTGTCAGGGAGCCACAAAGCTCTGGTCGAAATGCAGGATGACGTTCTGGAGCTGTTGAAGTTGGCGGTTAAGGAACATCCTACCTCTAAGGTAACGCTGGATCCAGCCTTCGTTCCGTTCCATGTTTCATTTTTGCGCCGTCATCTCGCTAGGAAAAAGCCAGCAATGATGCTAAGCTTCTTCCTGTCCCCTCAACTCACAGGAGCACCTGATTCGAATCCAAGGCGTGCTGAACTCCACGGAGATCAACCTGCAACATTTGACCGCTTTGGTTGACTGTCGAAGTCTTCATTTGGTGAGTCTTGCCGAAAGGATGTGGGGAACGTGAGGTTGAGGTGTCTCTCAACCTCACCGGCTTTAAGATGGGTGGGCTTCAACTTCCAGAATTCCCCAGCCAGCCAAGCTGGCTGGGGAATTCTGGGAGTTGAAGTCCACCAACTTTCCAGTTACCGATGTAGGCACGGGTGGCTGCAGAGCTGCGTTTGAAGGGACATCAAGAAATGGGCGTTGGGAGCTGAAGAGCATGTTGACTGGAGAAGGTCAACCAAGACCATTTACAGTTCCGCTTTCATGAAAAAAAAAAACCCCACCAAAAGTCTTGAACTATGATAAGACAGCATGTACCTCATGGAAGGACGCCAGCTGGTTCCTCCTCTTCTGAACATCCTCCTTCAACAGAGGAACCGAAACCTGTTTTGTGGTCGGTCTTATCTCCTGCAACCAGTCTGGTGGCCTTCAAAAAAAATAGTCCCCCCCTCAGCCAACCAGGTCTTTCTCCTCCTCCTCTTTGTCCTTGGAGAACTCCGCTCTGCAGGATTGGAGGAGGAAGCTGCGGAGAAGCAAAAGCTTGGGAGGAGAGGACCATGTAGCCTAACCAGACACGTCCGCGTTCAAAGTCTTGGAGGAAACGATGTCGGGATGCCTTGGGCGTGTTCTGTTCTGACAAGTCCTCTAAGATCTTGATGTTGTTATTGAGAGGTTGCCTGGGAGGAAAACCAAGAGTGGGACCAGCGATGCGGATTTTAACCTCCTCGTTGCCAGGCAACGGCTCCTTTCCGCGATAAAGTGGCTTTATCTCTGGATTTTCAGGAGAACGAAGAAGCCCTTCAAAGGGACCAGAAGTGGCTACATAACCACACACTTCTTCTTCCTCCTCCTCCTCTTCCTTCCTCCTCCTCCTCTTCTTCCTCTTCCTCCTCCTCTTCTCCCTCCTCCTCCTCTTCCTCTTCTTCCTCCTCCGCTTCTTCCTCTTCCTCCTCTTCTTTCTCCTCATCTTCTTCCTCTTCTTCCTCTTCTTCTTCCTCCTTCTCTTCTTCTTCCTCTTCCTCTTCTCCTCCCTCCTCCTCCTCTTCCTCTTCTTCCTCCTCTTCCTCTTCCTCTTCTTCTTCCTCCTCCGTCTCTTTTTCCTCCTCCTCCTCTTCTTTCTCCTCATCCTCCTCTTCTTCTTCCTCTTCTTCTTCCTCCTCCTCCTCTTCTTCTTCCTCTTCCTCTTCTTCTTCCTCCTCCTCCTCTTCTTCCTCTTCCTCCTCCTCCTCCTCTTCCTCCTCCTCTTCTTCCTCTTCTTCCTCCTCTTCTTCCTCCTCCTCCTTCTTCCTCTTCTTCCTTCTCCCTCCTCCTCCTCCTCCTCCTCCTCTTCTTCCTCTTCTTCCTCCTCCTCTCCCCCCTCCTCCTCTTCATCTTAATGCAAATTTTTAATTTTAATAGCATGTAAACATTCCCATTTCAACTGAATAGTAATGTGGTCTGAGTACAAATAGTTTTAGGAAATCCTCGTCAAAATGTTTACCACCCTATTCCTTATATTGATATTCATTACAATAGTGTTAGTAGTAACAATAACAATATTATTTGCTTAACCAATTCATCATACCTTCCTTATGTCACTGAACCGTCATAAATACGAGTTCATTGCCAAGCGTTTGGATTTCGATCATGTGCAGCAACGGTTGTTAAGTGTGAAAAAACGGTCGCAAGTCACTTTTCACGGTGCCCTTGTCACTTTGAATGGTCACTAAACAGGACCATTGTAATCCGAGGGCTCCCTGTGAAGTATTTACATCTCCTTTTAGGATTATGTCCAAGCTCTGACTGGCTTCTGTTATGACGGTGTAGAAGGACTCATCTACCTGGTGCTCTTCTCCTTTGTGACGGCCCTGATGTTCAGCTCCATTGTGTGTAGCGTCCCACACACCTGGCAGCAGAAGAGGTAGGTGTGCAAGAAAATAAAAGTGTGTGTGTGTGAGAGAGAGAGAGAGAGAGAGAGACAGACAGACAGACAGACAGAGAGCGTCCCGTGTTATGAAGGATTTGTGAATGCTGGTTTTGTAGGTTTAATCTATTTACAGAACTATCCTAACTGACCATATCCATAGATATAAAAAGCGAAATGCCTCTCAGGCATCATCACAAAATCTCCAGAACTGTAAAGCCTACAAACTTGAAATTTGGCCCCTATGTTCCTCTTGGCTTCTAGGGGCTCACTAAGAAAAGATCATCAGAGCATTAGTATTTCTTATATTAATATTATTATTAACAAGCTCTGATGCTCAGGAGTTCTACTCCCCCTCCCCTTCTTGACTGCTTTGGATTCATGACTCACGCCCTAATTGCCGTTTTGTGTGATGGATGTGTCACCCTTGACTCACAATTTGCCTTCTACGGCAACAGTGGACTGCCCCCTTGTGGCATTGTTTGCCATTTTGTCCAGAATCCAGAACTTTTTTTGGGGTATGTTCCTTAAAATAACAGGAAAAAAAACCAAAACGACGGAAACAGAGCGGGGAAGGGACCTTGGAGGTCATCTAGTCCAACCCCCCTGCTCAGGAGAGAAACCCTCTACCAAATGGTTGTCCAACCTCTTCTTTAAAAAATTCCAGTGTTGGAGCAAACCACAACTTCTAGAAGCCACTTCCGTTCCATTGATTGATTAACAGAGTAACAGAATGACAGAGTTGGAAGGGACCACATTTGAAATATAGAAGACCAGACTTGGAAGGGACAAGGGACCTTGGAGGTCTTCTAGTCCAACCCCCTGTTCAGAATGACAGAATACCAAAGTTGGAAGGGACCTTGGAGGTCACCTAGTCCAACCCCCTGCTTAAGCAGGAAACCCTGTACCATTTCAGACAAAGGGCTGTCCAATCTCTTCTTGAAAGCCTCCAGTGATGGGTTCTAATCTTTTCTTCAGATTGATTTTCATTTCTTGCATATAATTTTGCATGGAATCTCTGGGCAATGTCTTTTTTGGAGCTCTCATCGTGACATATAGTCCCTTCTTCATCTTGTAATTTGTTTATTGTTGTTTTTCTCTATAATTTCTTAGTTTCTGTCCCAGCCACCGTCCAGGTTTATTGACATTTTCAAAATAGTTTTGTTTAGCTAGTTTAATTATAGCACAAAATAGCACAAGCTATTTTCTCTCTCTCTGAGATATGTAGTTGATGTTTCAGAAGATCTAATTCATCTTTCAAGTTTTGATTATTAGGTTCTGTCTGGTGCAACTCCTCCATTTGCTTAATCTCTTGTTCTAGGTTTTCTCTCTCTATATATATATTTTTTTTTGCCTTGTTTCTTTTGGCTGTGTGATGAGTTAGGGTTAGGGTTAGGGTGATGGAGCACCCAGAATTTATAGAGGCAAGCCAGTCCACTGATCAATTGATCTGGGATTATAGATTAAAAGAATAACAAGAGTTGGAAGGGACCTTGGAGGTCTTCTAGTCCAACCCCCTGCTTAAGCAGGAAACCCTGTACCATTTCAGACAAGTGGTGGTCCAATCTCTTCTTAAAAGCCTCCAGTGATGGAGCAACGCACAACTTCTGAAGGCAAGCGGTTCTACTGGTTAATTGTTTTCACCGTCAGGATGTTTTTCTCCCATTTCTTCTCCACCAGGAACACCGAAGAGGATGGAGAGGAGGAATCGACGGCCCAAGGGAGCCGGCAAACTCATGACAACTTGTACCGAGTCCACATGCCAAGTCTCTACAGCTGTGGGAGCAGTTACGGCAGCGAAACCAGCATCCCGGCAGCTGCACATACCGTCAGCAATGCGCCCGTCACGGAATACATGTGAGTGGGAGCATGTGGGGTTTTGCGGCTGAGGTCCCAGCCTTAGAAAGTGGCATCTAGCTGGGGTTGACCCCAATGCAGCATGCAGAGCAAGTGAACCGAATCAGAAGACCCCGATTCCCGCAGGTTAGCATCTCTCTCGATCCAGATCAGTTTCCCAGGGAGGTTGGATGGGGATCCTCAGAATCAAGCCATTTGTGTCTGCCACCGTCCACCGACTCCAAAAAGTAGGACAAGAACATCAGTGGATATTAGGTGTGTCAGTTTTGGAAGCCATATTAGCACCAGGATCTTCCGTGCTGCCACATTCTTGAAGTTGGGAGGAGGGAATTTCATGGAGCGTATATGGTCAGACATAATAGCATTCTTCTTCGGAGTCAAGGTCATGTTATTTCTGCACCTGGTTGAGGAGTGGTTGAAGGGATGTCTCAGGTTGGAATGGAGGGTGGATTGGGGCATGTGATGGAATGATGGGTTCAGGGGGTAGATTTTTAATATTTTACTTATTGGAGGGAACCTTTCAGATCCGGGTTTTCCCAGAGAATCATTCAAACTTCAGAATATCATTGGGCTCCAGCTACTAGCCCTGGACGACGTCTTTGCATCTCATTGTTTGAGGAAGATGCACAACATCCTCAAAGACTCTTCCCATCCTGCTCACAATCTTTGTGAACTGCTGCCTTCTGGCAGAAGATACAGAACCATTAAAACTCAGACCACACATTTTTAATCCCAGAGCTATAATTGCCCTTTTAACAATGAACTTAAGGACCACCATCAGTGAGCTGTTGGACAGGGTTACTTGGTCTGTTGTGTGGATGCTTGTGTGTTTTTAGGGGGTGGGGAACCTTGGGTAGGGTGTGTGTGTTTTGGGATTGTCGTGTGTGTGTGCATATTGAGTCTGGTCTCTGGGTGTTATGTGAATTTCGTTGTATGTGTATACTGTGTATATATGTACGATGACAATAAAGCATTAAAAATTATTTTTTAAAAAAATAAAGAGATTTTGAATATCATCACATCTCCAAGTTCTCAATATTTTTATTTTTTTTACTTTTTCCCCCAGGACCCAGAATGCCAATTTCCAGAATCCCCGTTGCGAGAACACCCCTTTGATCGGCCGCGAATCCCCTCCTCCTTCTGTAAGTTCTGGTCTTCCTTTTTTGAAAGGGTAAAACCACAATTTGCTCTGAAGATCTTGACAAAGAGCTGCGGGGGTCCTTCTCACCCCAAGTCACCAATCCATCGAAGAGACAAGCCCACCCACCCAATTCTCCTCATTAAGTATGGAGTCTTAGGGCGGGCAGGCTGACATTAAGTCACCTGCAAAAACACACCCAGAAAACATACATTATTGTGACGACGGGGCATCAGGGAGTTGTGGGCCACGAGCAAACTTCTGCAGAGGTCTCATATCCTGGAAAGAGATGGTAATGGTTGACCATGGGGCATTATGGTCAGTGGTGGGATTCTACCGGTTCGTACTGATTCAGGCGAACCGGTAATTCCGGTGATCATTTCGCCCCATCCACCTGCCCCTGTGCACTCACCAAACCGGTTGTTACACCGGTTGAATCCCACCCCTGATTATGGTGACACCAAAATCCACCTTGAAGGAAAGATAGCAATGTGTTCTGTTCTCGATTTGGGTTTTTAATGTTCATAATTTCCTTCTTTGGGAGGGAAGGGAGAATCTGATTTCCAGAAAGAAAACTATGCATTTTATGGAAGAATCTCTTTGAACAAGGAGCTATTTTATATATATTAAAAAAAAAAATCCTGGGTTTCTTTCTTTAATTTCCTGAGTTGCAATCTTATATCTCGATTTATTCTAGTCTGTGTATTGCTGGTCTCGATACAATAGTCTTCTGCCAGCATGGAATATCTTCAAAGGGATCGGTTATATTTTATGTCTTCAGTATATTAAAAGAACAAAAAACAGTTTGTTTTTTTAAAGGGAAAAAAATGGCTGGTCTTGTAGAAGAGATTTTAGTGTTGTTAAGAGAAAACAGATGCTTATACCAGCATTTCAAGCCGTAATTAGAAATATGTGTAGTTATTCCAAAATGTTTTGATTTCAGAAAGATTCAAGCTGTTAGCTTTTTAGAGCAAATTCTTTTTTGGGGAAAATGTTTATTCTTCTGACTATGCATCTGGTGATGGAATCTGTTGCTTACAGGTGTTTGGACACCTTCAATACAACCTATTATTAAGTATCATGGTTCCTTATGGGCAGAACATAGTGGTAGAGTTTTTTTTCTACTTTTCTCCTTTGGCAAAAAAACTGATTCTCAGGAGATTGAAAAAAAGCAGTTGTGGCCTTCAAGATATCTCTAGCAGTGTTGTGTTCTAGATCTGGAAGGGTAGAGATCTGGAATTTCAAAAGAAAAAGGAGCTTCAATTTGATATAATGGGAATGCCGTGTCTTAGTTCAGGACCTGGGATGTAGAGTTACATTTGGTGTCCTACCTCAACATTGAACAAGACAGGCACTGCCACCATGATAGAAGGTGTAACACCAGCATGTTTGGGTTTTATCTTAGGAGTTAGGATGGTCCATGCTTTGGAAGTTGAGGGGAAGAGCACTCGCTGCTTATAAAAATGGAAATGTCCAGCCAACACCAACTTGGATTTGGGTCCAATTCTCTGGGTTTTGGGGCAGTCTTAGCCAACTCTGATCTCATCAGAGACCTGGTGGGACATGGTTTGGCCAAGTCACCCGCTGATTACTCTTGACAATTACTCTTGATTACTTTTGCTTTCCACAAAGCAAAGGGTTGCCTACTAAGAAAGGAGACTCCAGTCCCATTTTTTAATGGTGTCCACCTCTCTCACACCACTCTATAGAAGAATACTTCGCTTTGTGGAAAGTAGCCTTGTCAAGAGTAAATCAACGGGTGACTTGGCCAAACCATGTCCCGCCAGAGTCTCTGATGAGATCAGAGTTGGCTAAGGCTGCCCCAAAACCCAGAGAATTGGACTCAAATCCAAGTTGGTGTTGGCTGACAACAATCCAAGTCACGAGAGGGCTCTGAACCAAAGCAGAATCCAGTAGTGCTCTCAAGATTCGTTCCTTTTGGGCTCAACGCTGGTGGAAACCGAGTCAACTTCTCCAGTAGGGCAAGAGTTGTCTTCTTCATCGTTTGTCTCTCTCTCTCTCTCTCTCTTTTTTTTTTGTCCCCCCGAGTCATCCCTTCTTTCGTTTCCCTCCCCTCCCTGGCTCCGAGATCTGTTCTCCCAAGGATGAACCCCATCCAATCATTGACATCCCTACCACAACGGTTCACATGCTTGCAGTTTGTGGTGTTTTTTTTTCATGCACGTTGAGGCTGCACTCTTCTCTCTCTCTCTCTTTTTTTCTCTCTCTTTTCCTGCATCATCACAGTTGTATTTGGCTGCCATGGACAGTAGCAGCCATATGAGCTGGCAGCTTAAGCCCTCGGACAGTGCTCGGACGTACTGGTAGCAGCGCCCGCACAAACGGAACAGGTACTGAAACGAAGGTCCTTCTTGCTGAACGCCCCACTCACCCACCCGATCCTGCCACCCTGCACTTAAAGGCCCACCTGCCCAAGACTCCACGTATCCTCTCCCTGCACTTCCCCACCCCCGTCCTTCTCCCAACCGGGCTCTCTCTACGCCCTGCTCCTCCGTCGCGGAGGCACCTCCATCTTTTCATGGCGAAGCTTCCTGCAATCCTCATAGGCTGGTCAGGATTTCAGCAATTATTCCAGTTAAATCGTGAGTCTCCAGCCAAACTCCCAAAACAGAGCCTCCCCGCCCCAGGATGTTTCGGAATCGAGAAAGGACCACCAAGGATCTGAAAGCAGATTGCTTAGGCGTGTCCTCCCTTGAATTCCCCCATCCCACCCCGTGGAGTTTTAGCTAGCTGAGCTCACTGAAACATAAGCAGATAAGCGGATCTCTCTTGCCAAACCCGTTTTTTTGTCTCCCTCCATTTCTCTTTCCCTTTGTGTCACAGTTTCTGTGTTTTTGCGGGTTGGTTGGTTTGTTTTTAAGAAAAGGGATGGAGTATCTGTAGCTGCCCATCTCGTAACAAGAGATTCTGCACAGCGTGCAAAGCTGAAAAACAACCCCTGTTAAACCAAGGACCCCAGGATGCCAGAGCGGGTGCCATGAAGTGGCTAACCGAAGCGCCTCCTGACAGATTTTCAACCCAGAGGCCTCGAGATTCAGCCAGCTGAGTTGAAATCCCCTCGTTTTGTTTTCAAGCAGAGTTTCATAAGCTTCAAAACAGCTTTTCCTGGCCACCTGATTTGGCTGTGGACGAGCCAGCTTCACATGCGGCAACGTTGAGATATTGTTGCTTGTCATTTTGAATCTCGTCCCTAGGTTAAACTGGGATAGAGTTTAATCAGGTGCAGGTTTCACCACCCCCACCCACCCCTTTAAAGAAACTAGCTAACCTATTGGCAAAGTTAACCTCTGTTCTTATTTATTTAAGAATAGTAGCTAAGCGGAATAAAAACAATCCCCCTATTTCTAACGTGGAATAGATAGCAGTTATTTGTCTGGGCTGGTCTAATTCTATCCTGGTTTTGTTCATGAAGCTGACCAATTTCATATCTCTCAGGTGGATTCTGCCTCCTAGCTCCACCTTCCAATAAAGTAGAAGTAAACCTTGAATATGGGAGCTACCAACAGCTTGCTAAACCACCACTGATAATAGAACACAGCTCCCTGGTGGATGGTTCATTGTCCTTGGTCTCCTGCCGACCTCCACAATACAGCAAGCAACATCCCCTCAATGCACCCAGATGCTGGGGAATTCCACCAAGAGTTAGACGTAGTCCTTCAGCTATACCCCTCAATCCAGATGAGTTCAGGATCCCATAGCAATAAACCTCTACCAGAAAACAGTAGTCTTCAACCAGCAAAGGCTAGCTTTGCTAGCCTTCTGCTCAAATCTGGTTAAACCAGACTGGTGCAAAAATATCTCCGAGCTGATGAACATCTAGAGGACTGGGAAGAGACTTATCCTAACTTTTGTGAAGTGTTCAGTACCCAACCCCCCCCCCCCCATACACCCCCAAGAACAGGCACACCTACCTTATCTCCGCTGCCATTTGCCTGGTTTCTCCATCCTGGCTTCTTGCTTGTTGCCATTTGCCCGGTTTCTCCATCCTGGCTTTCTTGCTTCATCGTATGCTTTGAGAATCTCTTAAGAGTTTGGGGGTTTTTTTCCTCCCCTCCTTGGCAAACCTGCTCTAGCGTGAATTGTCAAAAAGACACGTGCTTTGCTTGGGGTGCATGGGCCAAGCGCATGAGGAGGAGCTGCGTATGTGACCGGGTGCATGTTTGCCTGTGCTCTTCCAAGGGTTCGTCCTGGGATGGTGCCTATTTCTGCATCGCTTGGTCCCGCTGTGGGGCAGGAATTCCAGGCTCCCGTGGCTGTTGGCTCACTGCATTCTCGTTTCTTTCTCAATGTTCTGTATTATAAACTTTGTTTTTCAGACATATCTCTCTTCCCCCCCCCCCCCCCCCCACCCCTCTGGAAGAGAACTTGACAGGGGCGGAATGTAGTCTTAAGACCAAACCATTTCTTGCTAGGGTCTGAAGTGCCAGCAGATGTTCTCCACCTTAATTTGTCTGCTGCATGTTGAGACAGGAGTGCCAACGCCTCTTGAAAAGCAGGGAAGCCAAGACCAGTTATATTTTGGGGTTGGGAGGGCCAGATGGCCAGTGTGGCTTCCAGGAGAAGGGCACACCAGAGGTGGGTTCCTTAGCATGGCGATGCAAGGTTCAACCTCATGACTAAACCACATAAAACGAAAGATGAAGAGATGGCCAGAGGTATCTGTAGAACCCAGAAATTGCATTAGAGTGATGAAACCTACACGGGGATGTTCTTTCAAATTCGTGATACATTTACTAAAAGAATAGGTCTGGATGTTTTTTGCTGGAAACTGGAAGTAAACACCAGAAACTGGGGGAAAAAATATATCACCAGTCAAGGCCAGGTGACTTAGCATGCCGCAGACATCCATAAACATGAGCCAGTAGCCAAGCACTCAAATGTGATCATGTCACCATGGGTGTGTATGCGTGTACGGCCATTATAACACTGAAAATGGGTTGTAAGGAGCTTTGGGGAAGTCCATCATAACTCAGAAGAGGTCGTAAGTTGAGAACTCCCTGTCTGCTAAAACGGAATCGCATTTTAAGGCTGTGTTCTCTGCTCTGTGGGATTGGAATCTGTAGGATGATATTTTTCTGCCTTGGGTTTCTCCGAACCTTTGGAATGGGATCTTAGCAGTTCTGCCCCCAAACCCTTCATCTATACTCTTTAGCCCACCTGCAAAGCCAATGTTTTCTTGGGTTTGTGATCTCCGGTTGAGTGTCAGCTCCCTAATTTGTAACTCTGTCCAAATCTAAGTTCTCCAAAGGTCCACCAGACCATCACTGTATCTGAAGTAAGCAGAACTTTCCCAACAGTGAGAACAATTAACCAGGGGAACATTTTGCCTTCAGAAGTGATTGGGGGCTCCATCACTGGAGGCTTTCAAGAAGACGTGGGAGATTCCATTTGTCTGAAATGGACTAGGGGGTTGAACTAGATGCTAGAAGGCCTCCAGGATCCCTTTCAACTCTGAAGTGCTTCTGAACTATCTCTTGTCACATGCCTGTGAGTTGATCGTCCTCTTGTTTTCTTCTTTTGCTTTCTGTTGTCCCTCTAGTACACGTCCAGCATGAGAGCCAAATACCTCGCCACCAACCAGCCTCGGCCGGATTCTGGAAGCGTGCACTGAAAACAAGGACACCTGGAAGTGAAAAAAAATGGAACGAAATGGGCCAATGCTGCGAGCCTCTGTTGTCCTCGCAGACCTATCCTGCTTTTCTCCCCAAGTCCAGGGATCCAGCTCAGTTGCATTTCCTGCTGCTTCTTCCCCAGCTTGACCTGGCTCATGTCCACGTGAAGACACCTCCGTAGAAGCTTGTTGCAGTTCCAGGCTCCGTTCCCTTGCGGTTCTCTCTCTACAGAGAGGGGCAACATCTCCACATGCTCATGTCCACGTGCTGGTCCTCTTGTGTTCCTTCGCTGTACGGGGAAATACGCTTTTGATGCCCATAAATGGTCAAGTGGACCATCTCCTCCCTAAGTCTTCTGTCCAACCCATCAGAAACGATTGGATGAACCAGATGACTTAAAACTGGATCGTGGGGTGGAAGTGCTCTTGATGTGGCACACCGAAACAAAAGCCATCTTGAATGTCCACTCTGCCAATGAAGCTCAGATATCTCCAAGCTTTGCCTGAAGATCTCTTGGAGTTGCCATAGAGGCATCCTTGGTTCTCCTGCCAGCATTGGTGGATCTCCAACTTGGGATCTTGGCAAGTCCTTGGTTCCTTACCTGTTACAACGTGGTCTACTAATTTAACCCTTTGTGATATCTTGGATACCTCTACTACAAGTTTACTCCTCTCTTTTACTATCTGGGTTTAAAGTCCTGGAGAGAAGGGGAAGGTTTCCTGCACCAGCTTATATGTGGTTGGATGTATGTGCTTGTTTGCACACACATACAAACACAGCCTTATATGAACACACACTTGTGTGTTTGTGCTCTATCTGCCTTCCTCCTTTATATCTGTACTTCCTACTAGCTCTCACCAAACATCTCTTGAGCTGATGTGAAGTCATCAAACTGGAAACTACCACTCTTTCGGTGCCAAAATATTCCAGGAAAATATTTAAGGAGCATTGTAGATTGGAGGGGAGGGCTGTGAAATATCAAATTTTGGGAGAAGGATTGGACAGGTCAAGGAAATACCAGTAAAACTGAGCTTCTTCCCAAGGTGTCCTCCTAGGTTAGACTTCTCAATGTTTATCATTTGGGCTCCTTTGGGGAGTTAGGACAGACGAATCCCTGGAAGTGTTGATATTAGATGGAGAAGGGAGGATTGTCACTGGTCCTGTATCCTTAAATCAGGAAGCAAACATAAAATACTGTTATGGGAAGACACTTTTGAAATGGATAGTCTCTCCTCTTAATTTGAAGGCCATCTGTGGATCAGTTGCTTCTTAACTTGTTGACAGTAAAGGTCAACAGCAAATCGGGAGGAAGAACAATTGCTGTAGGACATCTACTGGTGTTCCTGCTATGTGAGATGATTAGAATATTGAATAGTTGCACCCTATTCTTATTTATCTCTTGGGTCTCCTCCTTTTGAAAGCACGGAGATTTCCTTTTCAAGTTTTGCACATTTGAGAGGGAGTCTTGCTTGCTTTCGCTCTTGCGAGATCCACACCCACACATCCCTCCACCCTAGTTGCTTGCTTGCTTTGAAAACCTAGAATATCAGAAGGCTCTGAGGTCCTGAGATGCAGCTTGCAGCAGAATGAGTAGATACTAAAACCACTGTTAGGTCTTTCTTGAGCATCAGTAAGCCATTGTTTGTCTGTAAGTGCAGGGAGCCTACTCAGCTTTGCAATCTTATCTCTAGATTCCCAAAAACACAGCTCAGCACTCAGTGGTGTTGGGAGAGGCATTGGACCTGCTTCCAACCATGGAGATATTTGTACAAAAGTGACACCTCCCCCAAAAAAAATACATTCCTTCACAGACCACCTTTTGAAGTGTGCCCTTAAAAACAAAATTCAGCCCTCTGAAACATCTGCAGATAATCACAGATCTTCAGAAGAACATTCTTGGTAGCTTAGTTTGCCGAGAGCAGGAAGACAACCCTGTCCTGCTCAGTCTTCTCCAGGCAGAAGAAAACTTGGGTATGATCATCTTAAGGAAGGGACCAGCAACGTACGTTGTAATAACCACTATAGAAACTTGACTTTCTCCTGAGAAGTCGCCATTGCTTAGATGGTGATGGAGCTTCAGCTTGGGGTGTCCTGCACAAATTGAAGATGTCCTCTGCCTTTTCCAACCAGCAGAAGACGACCTGGTGGAGAAGACCAAGCAATCAGATCAGAGTTTGGTGCAGGGTGAATCTTCTCCAGGGACTTTGAACTCGGCTCGGCTTTTCAACTAACCGAGATACAGAATCATCTCAAACTATGGTGCATGCTTCTATCTCAAGAGCCAACTGGGTGTGTGTCTACGCACCCAGGCACCCGCCCCATGTAAATATGGATTGTCGGGGACGCCAAGAGCACGTGCAGTTCTCGTGGGGCATGTCTGAATGGCTCTCTTTCAGAAAATGTGAGTGTTTGCATGGTCACTTGTTTGCCTTCAAAGAGAAGCAGGGGTCACTTTCCCCGCCTTCTCCTTCGTGCCAAGCATCCGTGGCAACCATTTCGACTGCTAAGGGCTGTTCACCGCTGGCTGTCCTCTCTTCCCAAAGCAGCTTGTCCCAAGTTTCCCCCCCCTCCTCCCTCAATTATTGGCTGGCAAGAGTGTTGACGTTTGGCTGGCTTGGTGTCTTCATTAGGGCTTCTGCACCAGCTTCGTTGACATAGCAGGCAAACCCCACGGAATATTTTAATTTCCTGTTCTCTTAGCTTTCTCTCTCTCTCTTTGGTTTATTTTTGCAAGTCAAGAACGTCTCAGGACGGCGCGGTAGACTTTTCTGGCCACCATCCCTGTGGATTTTTTGGCCTAAGAAATTCAAGAGACGTTGAGTGGCAGGTCGCTAAGATCTCTTAGCCAGAACCTGAAGTAGGGGGACCATAGGCTGGAGTGGAAAAACGGAGCCCTAAAACCCTTCCTCCCTTCCCTTCCTGAGAGCCATTTGCAAGGGGACTGGGTTTTTCCCGCGACAACCATCACACGCCCTTTCCTGAAAACAATCCTAGGGACCATCTCCAGCTCACCAGGCATCTCTCCACAATGTGACCTGTACATAGCAGCATGGGGATGGAATTTCTCCCGTCCGATGTTGAAGACTGCATTGTAATTGTTTAAAAAAAAAAAAAATCGAATCAAGACTTGGATGTGAATTTATTTTTGTGTGTGCTGTCCAAAAAAAAAAAAAAATGTGTCGTGTTTTGTATCCTGTATGTATAATATTAGCTCACTTCGTTTTGAATTTTCTTTGGCTTCTTAAGATGAGGAAAGGTTTAAGGTGGGGAGGAAAAATTGACATTCCTCCATGTAGCCAAGACTTGAAGGTTAGATTCTTCTCAGCTAGCCTCCTTTAAAAAAAAAAAGCAAATCTGATGGGTATGTGTGAATTAAATACCTCAGGTGTGGCCAGTTTAACTGGAAGAAAGAGGAACGAGTAGCTTAAACCTGGCCTAAACTTGGAATAATTTGACTGAGGGCAAATTCCTGGAGCATCGCAGAAACTTTGCGCAATTCACACGCGTGTGTTAAATTCAGTTGCTGCTCAGATCCAGCACACTTGCCGCGTAGATCTGTTGTGCTTGTCCCATCTGTGGCCCATCAAGGACCCAAGACCTATATTTTCCACCAAAGCATGCTGGTGCTTCCCAAGATCTACCGGGAAGTTGAGTAGTTGGAAATATTGATTGGTGTTTCTCTTAGGGTGCTTAATGTGTTTGAGAAGATGCTAAGACATGTTCTTGTGGTCTCTGTGTTATCAGCTTGATCAGAGAGGAAGGTATATGTGGGGTGCGCAAGGCCAAGAGAAGGTTGAATGATGGGTCTGGTCCATAGTTCAGTTTTGACTGTGGATGGAGGCCACTGGGGCAGAAGGAACGTGGCTTTGGGGTACGTCTGCGTTGACGCTCCCTTGACCAACTGTGCCCATTTCTTCTTTGAAAGACCTAGGACTTTAGTGCATCAGGCCATGCCAAAAGCTTCTTGCGGTGAAGGTTCTGGACATTGTTCAACCATATCTGTGCCAAAAATAATAAGTCTTTTAAAAGCCATAGCGATGAAACAAGGCTGGTGTTGTGCAGCTTTGGTCCTTTATCCCACCTTTTCCTGAGCTTGTTGTTTAAAAGGAAGTGCTCTATTGGCTGCCTCCCCCATCCATCAATCTGGCACCTTCCTCCGGGAAGTGTGAAGTTTGAAGTATCAAACAAGCAGGTCCAGTACAGGCATCTCTGATGAGGGACAATAGAGAAATGTGGATCGCAGCTTCCTGCAGCTTGCAAGCTGTTGTCTTCAAGAGTTCTTGGCTTAGACCACGTTGGGTTAAAAAAGCATTTTCTTCAGGAAAAAAAAATTGAGCTTTCACCCTTCTGTTTCTGTCCTTCTTCATCCTGTAACTGATGGCTAAGTAGGTAGACAAGGACTCAAAAAAAAAAACCACGTAGGTCTCATTTTTGAGGCATGTTCCTCAGCGAGGTGCTTCAGACCACGCATGATCACCAAGGTTCTTTAAGCGTGAACCTCTCAGACCTGAAGGAATTGAGATAGGCCCAGTGTTAGATCACTAGATCCTAGGTGTTGTGAGTATGTCATGGTGATGCATAGCTAGCTTTGAGATCCTTGGAGCATTGGTAGGTGGAACCAGCTCTTCCACGTAATAAGGCAGGTTGTTGACCTGGACTTATGGTCCCCACTGCTCAGTGGAAGGGCATATGCCTTGGAGGCAAGGGATCCCGTCTTTATTATTTCCAAATGGAGCAGAAAATGTTACCACCAGCTGTTGGTAAGAGGACTGTGTTAAGAGGACTGAGTGCTTTGGTTCAATCTATGGCAGATTCTCCTGCTTGTAGCTAATGAGTTCTAGTTGAGAGAGGTGACTCCCTTTGCCACTAAGGAGAGGTGCTAAGAAACTGGTGGGACTTCTCTCCACCATCAGCTAAGGTGTAGTGGTGGGAGACCACCCAATCCTTGTCAGTTAGTCCTCAGATTACCCCTGTAGACCATGTCCCAACCTCAAGGAGCTTCTGAGAGAGAGAAAATGGTGCACCTGGGACCAAACAGACACAGCTACACACCGACACACTCAGAGGCCAACCTTAGAATCTGTTTCAGCAGAGCCATCTGTACCTTGGACCGCAGTAAGCAGGGACAAACATTTTCTTACCTTTCAACAACACAACAACAACAACCACAGCCACCAGTGGCAGCTGCTGGACTAGCATCAGGCTAGTTCTTGGTGCTTTGTGTATTCAACAACCACACTTTTGTCTCTATGCAAGGTGGACATTTCTCCTGTTTTCACTCCTCCCTCTCTGATAACCCAGATCCATCTCTCAGGCTTCCCCAATCTAGTTGGGGATTGGACTTGCATCCCCCTGAATCAACCCAGTTTCCCAGGGAGGTTGGATGGGGATTCTGGGAATTGTAGTCCCTTGGAACTTCCTGATTGATTCCCAGGAGTATTGATGTTGTGGTCAAAAACTGGGCCTGTTTATTCTCTTCCCCTCCCTTCAAACAATTTTGTGTTGACGTTTCAATGCAAGGGTTGCCAGTATTGTGGGTGCATCTTTCATGAACCATGCTTCGCCCCCAAAACAAGCAAGTCCATTAAAAACCCAGTTACAAAGAATCCTGGTTTATTACCAAGGGTGGTATTCATCCGGTTTGGACTGGTTCGGGCGAGCCGGTAGTTCCAGCGATCGCGGTTGAATCCCACCCATTTATTACCCATCCAACACGCTGCCTAAATTGGGCAGGTAATGCCACCTCTTATGACACAGGGCCAAGCTTCACCTTCTGAATTTCTGCCTGCCTGTGACTAGGAAAGGCACACGAGCCTCGGTGAAGTTTGGCGCTGTGGTCGGTTGGCAACCAGCAATTGTATTCTCTTCTCCTCCATTCATTAGAGACGCAAACCTGTTTGTGACTTTCATTTTGTCCACCTCCCAATTTTATTATTTTTATTGCTATTATTTTGAGAGATGTGGCAAATTCTACCAAGTCAAACTCTGAACTGGCATTTTCAAACCGGGTTTTGCTTCAAACCACAATGGTTAATAACAGCATTCTACTTTTATGTATACATATATAATATATGTATATGAAATATATATATAAATATAATTTTTTTAAGCCTTTAGACGTGACTAGCTTCTTTCAAAGTTCTCCACTGGACCCACCCCTCAAAAAACCCATTTTTGAAATTTCACGGGGGTTTAAACGGAGGGGGGGGTGTCAGCCTGATGATGATTATTTTTGTAAAACTTTTCTTTGGACTTTTGGTTGATTTTACGACATTGTACTGTAGCTGTCCCCCCCCCCTTTTTTTATTGGTTGGTGTTCTTTCTGTTCTGCAGAAACAATTCTAAGTGTAATTCCTGTGGTTTCTATTCCGCTTGGGTTTTATGTTTTAAAATAAACAACTTTGAAAAGGCTCCGCTCCGAGTAATGAATGGTTTATATACGGATAAGATTTCATCGATTTCATTATTCACCATTTAGCACAGAGGTCTCCAAACTTGGCAACTTTTTTTAAGACGTGTGGATTTCAACTCCCAGAATTCATAGCTGGCTGAGGAATTCTGGGAGTTGAAATCCACAAGACTTTAAAAATTGCCAAGTTTGAGGACCCCTGGCTTTTAGTGGCTTTATCCAAGATTGAATATTTGCCTGGTGGGTTGTACCTACTCCTTCCACAAGGGGGCAGCACCTGTCTGCATTTTCCATGGACAAAGGGAGAACTGTTTCCCTTAAAAATCAGATAGAATTAGCATACAGATATTCCTTGATTTACGACTGTTCCTTTAGTGACGGTTCCAAATTACAACAGCATTGGGGGAGAAAAAAACCCAACATGCTCATTTTTCACACTGGTGACCACTGCACCCTTCCTGCTGCCATGTGGTCAAAATTCGGATGCTTGGCAACTTGACTCGTATTTATGATGGTTGCGTTTTGCGACCTTACGACAAGCCAAGTCAACGGGGTGAGCAGGATTCACTTAACAACTGTCTTACTAACAGTGTGGTGATTCATTTAACAACTGAAGCAAGAGAGGTTGTAAAATGGAACAAAGTTTGCTTCACAAATGTCTGCCTTAGCATCCATAATTTTTGGGTCCTAAGTCGAGGACCCCCTAGCTTTCAGACTCATCAAATCACAGGGCTGGAGCCTGGAAGGGACCTTAGAGGTCTTCTAGTCCAACCCGCTGGTCTTCCTGGATCTCAAGGCTCTTACACACAAGCTAAAAAAAGCTAAAGGTTCCCTCTCGCACATCCGTGCTAGTTGTTTCTGGCTCTAGGGGGCGCCGGTGCTCATCTCCATGACAAAGCCGAAGAAGAGCCAGCGCTGTCCAAAGATGTCTCCGTGGTCGTGTGGCTGGCAGGACTAAATGCCTTTGAAGGCGTATGGAATGCAGTTTACCTTCCCACCAAAGGGGTCCCTATTTTCCTACTTGCATTTTTTACATGCTTTCGAACTGCTAGGTTGGCAAGTGATGGGAGCTTACTCTGTTACATGGTGCTGGGGATTCGAACCGCTGAACTTTCTGATAGACAAGCTCAGCATCTTAGCCACTGAGCCACCATGTCCCTCTAGGTTAGTTCTAATTTAGAACGAGTAACAAAGTTAGAAGGGGGCGTTCTGCTCTTTCTCAAACGTGACAACTTGAAGACGTGTGGACTTCAACTCCCAGAATCCCCCCAGGAAAGCGGAGAAAGCAATAAATAGCACCCCCCACACACAAAAAAGAGCTTCCAGTAATTAATTAGCCAACAAATTCTTTTATTGAAAGCACAGAGAAGACACGGGCCACAGGCAGTCTGTGGCAGATCAGGTTTAATTCCCTGAGAATATTAATCATTATTTCCCTCCCACACATTTTTCCTCTTTAATATATATATATATATATTTATAGCGAGAGTCACATTATATATATATATATGTACACTACTTTACAGAAAGCAACATCCCAGATACTGGGATTTATAAATTACAGATAAGTAACAAACAACACAAAACTTTTTCCATTTTTCTTTTTGTTTCCAGATATCAGGAAAAAAAATCGTTTTTTGTTTTTTTTTTGCTGTTCACTTTTAAACCCACCCTCAACAAAAATCACACCGGACTTGACATTTTTCACACACACACAAAAGGCACAGTAAATAACACTGTTGCAATAAAATATTTACAAACACTACCCACTATGGGCCTTGTTGTTGTTGGTTTTTGTTTTTACTTTTATTTTTGTTTGCGAGGGAAGCATTCGCCTCTCCGTCTCTGCCTTTGGGACTTAGGAAGAAAAAGCCATACGGCATTTTGCAGGAGAGTGAAATTCAACTCTTGGGGTGAAAATGCTACGGGCAAATTTCCCTGGCCCAGAGACTGAGAAGTTGCAGCGATGGGAGATGGTGAATCAACACCATGTCCAACTTATAAGAGAAATACAAGGATCCCTCATTGCTTCCAACATCTTTAAACCCCTTTTAAATTAGTACACAAGTCATTCCTACCAACTGCAAAAATTTGAGTCTGGATGTTGCTACGACCCCATCTCGATTTTACAGACCTTGATTCAACAGACTTTGGATTTAACAGACAATATCTGAATTTGGGTGGCTTCAGCAAACAGCGTGGTAAATCAGACCATGTGGATACATATTTTTTTGTAAAGTACATGGGTGTATGACATAAATATTATGAACATCACGTAACATTCACGGGTGTTACATAAAGTTGGATTTAATTAACATTTGGCTTTAACGGACACTGGTTCCTCCCAATTGGTCCATAAAATTAAAAGACTTACTTACAGTAAGTAAAATTAAATATTACTTAAATTACTTACTTAAATATTAATTCAGGTTGGGGCCCAAAGTCGTGAGCCAACATTTTGTGCTTTGCTGGGAACAAATCCCATTCAATAGGGTAGGATTTCCTCCTGAGTAAACTCCACAGAGGATTGCTTATTATATATATATTTATAAATTATATTTAGTAGAATCAAAATAATTGCATCTTCAAAGGGTCTAAAATTCTGAACCTACATAGGCTTCTGTTGTCATTCTTACCGACATTCAGGCAACAAAACAGATCTAAGAATACAACAAGGCAAAATGTTTGCAATCAATATATATATATATATATATAAAGATTGGAATTGAGGATTTCTGGAGCTGTAGCCAGCCAATCTGCTATCAACTCTTTGCTTACATTTGGTATTAAATATTGATTTAATTAAATTAAATCAGAATTAAATGCAGCTACGCAACTACAGGTGCATTCCACAGTTCTGGACTTAGGTGCAGTTTTACAATCCTTTGCCTGTTTACTCATAAGAAGCCCACCAAGCTTCTGTAAAGGCAAGGAGGCCAGGATGAAAAGGATTAGATAATACCTCTGTGCCAAAAAAAAAAACCCCTATCGTTTGAGTCTTCCTTCAGTGCAACTGCAAAACGCGAGTGTTCAACAAGAGACCAGCTCTAAATGAATTTAGGGGAGAAAAAGACTTTCTTTCTCAGAGGAAAGTGTACAGATAGCACGAGGGAAAGGAACAACCCCGAAACAACATCAACAAAATTTTTTACAAAAACACACACAGAGCAAATCAGCAAAAAAAAACTTGTTTCCTATGTAAACCTTCATCTGAAAAATTACGCGGAGCCTGAAAAAGCAGGAAGGAAGGAGTGGTGAAAAGATATATAAAAAATAGGAAGACAGCCAGTGGCCAAAAGTAGCTTTTTTTCCCCCCCGAGGGGAAGTCTTCTAGCTATTTTAGATTCAAACTCCAATAGTTCCCAGCCAGAAAAATGATTGGAACTGGAGCACCACAAAGTTAAAAGACTCCAGCTGAAAAAGACCAGGTTTTTGAGGGGGGGAGGAGTGTGAAAAAAAAATCTGTAAAATGGCATCCTGGCTTTAATTACAATGCTGTGAACGTGATCTTGGAAGTGTTGATAGCCTCAAACAGCCCAAACCACGACACAACCAGGCTAAGCTTTAATCCAGTGTTTCTCAAAGTGGGCAACTTTAAGACGAGTGGACTTCCACTCACTAAATTCCCCAAAATTACAACGGCTGGACTTCAGCTCCCAGAATTCCCCAGCCAGTATGCTTGACGTGGAAGCTGACTGGGGAATTCTGGGAATTGAAATCCACCCCACCTTAAAGTTGCTTACTGGATCTTTCTTTCAATCAGTTAAAATGGGGGCAATCCCATACCAGCTTAGCATCTGCCACAATGCATGGTTTTAAAAGTGCTTAAGATTGGGCAGGTTGCAGAGTGTTTTGGGCTTTGCAGAAATGGATGAAGAAGAAGCAGCAAAGGGTCCACCTCTCAAAATATTCTGGAGCAAGGAAGACCTGCAGCATTGCCTTCAGCAGGTGGCAGGTAGAAAAAAGGTCTTTGTCATCACAACCAGCCTTGAATCCCTTGCAAAGGAAGGGAGGGCTGGAGAGAGAAAAAAATATCGCAATTGTTCTCGCATTGGGAGCTTCTAAAATATCTATACCCTGATCGTCACCGGGAGAGGGACACAGCGAGGCGCACAAGACCACACCGCAACTGGTGGAAACATACACAACACACTGTGAACTAACCACAGTAATTAGGATCTCATTGCTTCACAGCAAACGAAGGACGCACGCATACAGACACCCTAATAAAACTACGGGTCCCGAAAGCTCTTCGGATACCGGAGAACTCGGGACGAGGTCAAAGGGACGTCGAGATTTTTAGTAGGCGATGTTGGGAGGACACCAAGGCGTATCCGGGTACAGCAAGCAATGGATGGAGCGAAACCTAGAAGAAGAAGAAGAAAACAAGGTGTCAACTCATAAAATATTTCTATGGTCTTTTTAGAGTTGCCAACAGAAAGGGATGGGGGAGCAATGCAGCAGCTTGCAAACTGAAAGTGCATTCCATAAATGTTTTCAAAGATAGTAACTAGGTGACTGAAGTTTCTACAGCAAAAAATTCTAACAGGACAGCATGATTGATGACTCTGGGCTATGGAGGTGTCCCATTGGAGAATATGAATTATGATACACCCAGGAGGTGGGGGGAAAACCAGGGTCAAAGGTGACAAGGAATGATGTGTCTCAGAGTTGGCTACACCCGGGCAGTGCCGGCATGTTAATTCCCAATAAATCCTTTTGAAGTTTTGGAAATTTGACTCGAGATGATTTAAATGGGGTTAAGTGGTGGAATCCTGACACAGGGGTTGGGATGAAGGTCAAGGAAGACACAAGCAGATCACCATCAGCGTACAATTTGTGATCTAAATTGCAACGTCTCGGGATGATGCGATGCCTAGGTGGGATCTTCTGACGAGCAAAGTCAACGAAGGGAAGCCACATTCGCTTAAGGACTACGTTACTAGCTTAACAATGGCAGCAAGGAAGGTTGCAGAATGGGGCAAGGCTTGCTTAACAACCATCTAGGTCAACCATGGAAATGGGCTCAGTTGCAGCCGTAAGGTAAATACTGCCTGTGTTGTGTGAAATGACTCTGCAAATACCTGTGGATGCCCAACTGTTTAAGGTTGCAGAATTACATCTCCCAATTTGGAAGTAAATCCTCTGAAGCCAGAGGGACTTCCAACAAAATCTATCTATCTATCTATCTATCTATCTATCTATCTATCTATCTATCTATCTATCTATCTATCTATCATATATCTATCTATCTATCTATCTATCTATCTATCTATCTATCTATCTAT